TTTATTAGCTTCATTTAATGAGTGTCGGCTTTTATTTAGTTAAATTATCTTTTGCAAAACTTTCATTTGTTAAAACATATAATTAAATATGAAACAATTACAAAATTTTCATTAGCTATTTTGTATGTCAATTGCAATATACCAATTAAATATTAGTAATAATTAAATTACTGTTAAGGAAATTGTAATGCAAATATACAGCATGTTTTTATAGCGCATCACGAATTATTAAGGGGTACGTATGGTAAAAAAGTGATAGTAATTAATGTATATTTTTAAATTGACAGATTAAACCTGTTTACTTGTTATAAAACCAATATATAACGTATATTAGTACCAATTTCCTAAAATTATGTTTAAATTTTATAATTATACCTAACCAAATCAAGTTTGCTGTATTACAATCATTTGCAATTAATTTTGTTATCTTTAGTGAAAATATCTACAAGAGTTATTGACTAAATTCAAATACTTTCAAAAAACTGCATATTGCCAATTCAAAATAAAAAAAAATCAAATTTGAAAATGTCGCCAGTTACATGTAGTAATATCTAAACGTACTACAAATTACACTATTGTGTTATGAAAGAAATTTTTTGCGATGCGATGTGATTGCTGGCACGTATGCAATTAATTGTCGAAATTAAATTTGAAAACGTTCGAAAATTTCGTTAAGTGTTAACCAATCCTTTCTCTTCGACTTTGCTGCCTCGATTATGATATTAAAAGAAAGTTCTTACGTAAGCGCACGAATACCCCGACAGCTTTTTGGTCGCTCGGTGAGAGTCAATTTCTTTGCAATATCTATAAAGACAAATATGTATACAGCGTGTCCCAGGATTGACTTTGAGATGGGTGAATTATACCAAACAAATATTAGTATGACTTTCATTTTCTGCAGTTTGATAGTTGGTTTCTATGGCTTTTTACAGTGGCAGTGGCAGTTCTATATGCAGTGTTGCCTGATCTTCTATACGAAAATGACAGATTGATAATTTTGGTTGGACACAGTCAACATTATACTGTTAACAAAAATTTGTATGGCACTTCTACTGGCATCTTATAACATGACAATAAGAAATTGATTATTTATTTTGAATGGAAGAAGGATCCATATTACATTTGCCAATAGTATTTATCTATAAAATCTCAGAAAAATATAACAAACAATTAATCTTTGTTTTTTTTCTAAACTTTTTCTTTAATTAGGCTCAATAAAACACGAATTAATTATCCACTTAATCAATCTAAAGATGTCCACATAGAAATTGAGATGTACTTTAATGCGCTTGACACAATTTCGCGCGTCCATTCTTTACCCAAATGTAAATCTATAACATACGCTAGAATTTTTATTGCATTCGGATTTCTTGTTTCTATTAAAGTTAAGTGTATTGACATAAATAGCTAAGAAAAAATACTTAATTTTTCCACATAGTTTTTAAGTAGTCAGTTCGGTATGTATATATATATATATATATATATATATATATATATAATATTATTTATATATATGGAGTGTAGGGTATTCTTCTATATACGATTCTGCAATAATTTTTCTATAAATATATCATTTTTTTGTAATAATTATCTTATTATCTTTTAAAATATAAATAATCTTACTTTAAAGTTAATTTTAACCTAGACAACCATTAAAACATTTAATCACATTCAGTTGCATAACTTTGGCGAATAAGAGTATATAAAATATTGGGCATTGAGTGTATATAACTTCATGAAAATTCCGAAAATGATTACTTAATTTCCCATCCCCCTTTCTTGCTGCGTCTCTGGTACTATAAAAAGTTGCTTTTTGACCATTGCTTCATAGTTTACAACTTAGACAAGAAAATGCCATTTTTAAGCAATGATTTAGTATAAAAAAGTATATATTTTGAAATGTTAGATAAACAGTACAGCCACTTATAATAAATAAATAGAAAATGGATGAACCAGTCGAATGGCCTCCCAGATCTTTAAATCTGACACCATTAGACTTTTTCTTATGGGTCACTTAAAATCTGTACTCTACAAAACTTAGCCTCATTCTATTGAAGATCTGCGACAACGAATAGTTCAAGTATAGGTAAAACCAAAATCTATTAGAAAAAATTTATTAATTTATATATAAAATGTACAAAAATATTTACAATCTACAAAAACATAACCTTAACAAATGAAAAATGCATACATTGAGCATTGAGTGAATATCTGGACGTTTTAAAAACTAATGACTATTTATCACACATTTTTAATTTTTCTGGTATGATTTCAATGGAAACTAACAAATTAAGTCTATTTAAATTTAAACAATTTATAAAATGAAGTAGTTTGTAACAATGGCATCTCGTTGAAACGTATCAAACGAATAAATAACGCACAATTCGTCTACTGGTACACTTTGGTGGAGTTGCCTATATCCACTACTTTGGCATTGTAGAGTACTTCTCTTTTGCGCCTAGCACCAACCGAAGGGTTCAGCCAGTAACTTTTGACCAAGTCTGCCGCCTTCTCCCCTATCATTATAACAGGGGCGTTGATGTTGCCGTTGGGGATGGTCGGCATTATCGAGGCATCTACGACGCGTAGCCCTGAAACACCGTAGACTCTTAGTTCGGGGTCTACGACCGCGTAGGGATCGTCCGAGAGACCCATTTTGGCGGTGCAAGAATAATGGTAAATCGAAAGGGTGTATTGGCGAATAAAGCAGTTCCAATATTCGTCCGTGTACAGTGGGAGGTGTTTGCATTTGGGCACCGGTACGTTGTGGAATCTCGAGCCAAAACGTTTCAGGGCCTCCGTCTGCCCGTAGGCTACGGAAGCCTTGACGCCCTCGCGTAGCACGTTCACGTCGTGAGGGTGCGTCAAATAGTTGTGGTACAATAGAGGGTACTCCAACGGGTTTTTGCTCCTCAACTTGATGTTCCCTCTGCTTTTCGGGCGCAACATCATCGGGAATATGCCGATGGTGTCTTTGTAATTTATGCTGCTGAACACTTCGTTGTAGAACTCGTCTGTGAGACCGTGAGCGTGCTTGACTTGCGTACCTCCATCTGCAGCGGTGGAGGTGGAGGTCAGCATGAACTCCATGTCGGGCCAATCGTCGGTTTGATTTGCATATTTGGTGGAGATAAAACCTACAGCTTCCAAACCTATGCTCGACGTTAGAGGACCGTCTTCCTTCAACGCGTACCTCAGAGCCGTGTTCAAATTTACCAAACGGTTTATAACAAGACTTATAGGGTGATCAATAAGGAAAGTAACGCCCCCTACGGCAATGTGGTCCTGCAGATTCTCTCCTACACCGGGAGAGTCGTGTATGACTTGAACGCCTTTCTCTTGCAGATGTTCCGCAGGCCCAACCCCACTCAACATCAACAGATGCGGGCTGTTTATGGCACCAGCCGATAAGATCACCTCCTTCTTGGCCAACACTACTTGTTTTTTACCGTTTTTGATGTACTCCACGCCGTACGCACGCTTGGTCTTGCCGTCTATCAGCACTCTAGTGACATGCGTGAACAAGGAGATGTGCAGGTTTTTCCTCAGCCTGATGGGTCTCAAGAAGGCTTTGGCCGTGCTGCAACGCGCCCCTCTGCGAATCGTAAACTGTAAGAATCCGAACCCGGTTTGTTTTTCGCCGTTCACGTCGCGTATGTCGTAGCCCATTTCTTGGCCTGCTTCCAAAAAGGCGACGCCCAGTGGCGTGTTGTACAGGTTGTCTTGGACTGTTTGGTAGCCACCTACAAAAATTAAATTGTGATACAGAATAATATAAATAAAAATATTAAAAATATTCTCCAACACCAAAACATCTTCAGAAGCGAAGGGTAACTAGATCTAACTAACACCTTTTTAGACAACCCCAAAAATTCCTGAAATAAACTATCAAGATTGTGAAAAGAAATATGTTAGACAAACTAAACGATACATCCAAGTAAGGTTTAAAGAAAACTTGGTCCATACTAGATATGGTAGGACAGAGAAATCGATTCTTGCCCAACATATACTTGATGATGGTCATAAAATAAGATTTGACAATCTTAAACCTATTAAGGAAGTTAGGAAACCAAGTCTGCTAAATGGTTACGAAAGTTTATACTTCTATAATAATATAAATAAATCTGTAAATAGCGATAACGGACCGGCACATAACACCTACGTCTTCCTTCAACGCATACCTCAGAGATGTGTTCAAATTGACCAAACGGTTTAGAACAAGACTTATGGGGTGAACAATAAGAAAAGTAACCACCTACAACAATATGGTCTTGTAAATTCTCTCCTACACCAGAAGGGTGGTGTATAACTTGTACGCCTTTCTCTTGTAGATGTTCTGCAAGAATTTTGGGAAATTTTATTATTGTGTCCTTATTTATTGACCAAATTTAAATGGTCAAAGTTAATTTAAAATGTTAGATAAAACAATACACTTACAATAAATAAACTGGAAAATTAAAGAGGAGATGATGATGAACTAGCTTTGGATGAACATTTATTACATTTTTAACAAGATGGGGCACCACCTCATTATGTAGTAGCTGTTGGGGCTTGGCTGGATCAGAATTATTCAGAACATTGGATCGATAGAAGAGGACCAGTCGAATCTTTAAATCTGACACCATTAGACTTTTTCTTATGGGTCACTTAAAATCTGTACTCTACAAAACTCATAATAGTTTAAATATAGTTTAAATATAGGTAAAACTAAAATCTATTAGAAAAAATTTATTAATTTATATAAAATGTACAAAAATATTTACAATCTACAAAAACATAACCTTAACAAATGAAAAATACATACATTGAGCATTGAGTGAATATCTGGACGTTTTAAAAACTAATGACTATTTATCACACATTTTTAATTTTGCTGGTATGATTTCAATGGAAACTAACAAATAAATCTATTTAAATTTAAACAATTTTTAAAATGAAGTAGTTTGTAACAATGGCATCTTGTTGAAACGCATCAAACAAATAAATAACGCACAATTTGTCTACTGGTACACTTTGGAGGAGTTGCCTATATCCACCACTTTGGCATTGTAGAGTACTTCTCTTTTGCGCCTAGCACCAACCGAAGGGTTCAGCCAGTAACTTTTGACCAAGTCTGCCGCCTTCTCCCCTATCATTATGACAGGGGCGTTGATATTGCCGTTGGGGATGGTCGGCATTATCGAGGCATCTACGACGCGTAGCCCTGAAACACCGTAGACTCTCAGTTCGGGGTCTACGACCGCGTAGGGATCGTCCGAGAGACCCATTTTGGCGGTGCAAGAATAATGGTAAATCGAAAGGGTGTATTGGCGAATAAAGCAGTTCCAATACTCGTCCGTGTACAGTGGGAGGTGTTTGCATTTGGGCACCGGTACGTTGTGGAATCTCGAGCCAAAACGTTTCAGGGCCTCCGTCTGCCCGTAGGCTACGGAAGCCTTGACGCCTTCGCGTAGCACGTTCACGTCGTGAGGGTGCGTGAGGTAGTTGTGGTACAATAGAGGGTACTCCAACGGGTTTTTGCTCCTCAACTTGATGTTCCCCCTGCTTTTCGGGCGCAACATCATCGGGAATATGCCGATGGTGTCTTTGTAATTTATGCTGCTGAACACTTCGTTGTAGAACTCGTCTGTGAGACCGTGAGCGTGCTTGACTTGCGTACCTCCATCTGCAGCGGTGGAGGTGGAGGTCAGCATGAACTCCATGTCGGGCCAATCGTCGGTTTGATTTGCATATTTGGTGGAGATAAAACCTACAGCTTCCAAACCTATGCTCGACGTTAGAGGACCGTCTTCCTTCAACGCGTACCTCAGAGCCGTGTTCAAATTTACCAAACGGTTTATAACAAGACTTATAGGGTGATCAATAAGGAAAGTAACGCCCCCTACGGCAATGTGGTCCTGCAGATTCTCTCCTACACCGGGAGAGTCGTGTATGACTTGAACGCCTTTCTCTTGCAGATGTTCCGCAGGCCCAACCCCACTCAACATCAACAGATGCGGACTGTTTATGGCACCGGCCGATAAGATCACCTCCTTCTTGGCCAACACGACCTGTTTTTTGCCGTTTTTGATGTACTCCACGCCGTACGCGCGCTTGGTCTTGCCGTCTATCAGCACTCTAGTGACGTGCGTGAACAAGGAGATGTGCAGGTTTTTCCTCAGCCTGACGGGTCTCAAGAATGACTTGGCCGTGCTGCAACGCGCGCCTCTGCGAATCGTGAACTGGAACAACCCGAAGCCGGTTTGCTTTTCGCCGTTCACGTCGCGTATGTCGTAGCCCATTTCCTGGCCCGCTTCCAAAAATGCGACGCCCAGCGGCGTGTTGTACGGGTTGTCTTGGACCGTTTGGTAGCCACCTGCAAAAATTAAATTGTGATACAGATTCGTAGGTACCCGAATTTTCGATTTTAGGAATCTTGTCTTTGGGGTTGCATACCAAAGATAAGATTCCTAAAATTGAAATAAACTGTCAAGATTGTGACAAGAAATATGTTGAACACACTAAACGATCCATCCAAGTGAGGTTCATAGAGCACTTGGCCCATTCTAGATTTGGCAGGACAGAGAAATCGAGTGTTGCCCAACATATACTTGATGATGGTCACAGAATAGGATTTGACAACCTTAAACTTATTGAGGAAGTTGGGGAACCAAGTCTGCTAGATAGTTACGAAAGTTTATACACCTATAAGAATACCTAACTCTAGTTTGTATATATTAGTTTGTTAGTTTCTCTTTACGTGTTCGCTGAAGCGGTTATGGTCAGTAATTTAGCAGTTAGATTTTGTGTTTTGTTTTGGTGTTGAAAAATATTTCTAATATTTGTTTCAAGTAACAGAATAATATATACTGTACCTTCATTTGCAAGCTATACATAGGGAAAATACATTGTAGGTGGAACAGACAAGTCGAAGTCGCGCCGGTCAGCGCGAAACGAAAATGTTCCCAGAAATTATTTTGACGAGTGGATGAGTAGACTAACATGCGACGTAACAGGTGACCTTGTTTACTGGCGATTCAAATTTTATTACCTCCTAATAATTTCTGAGAACTTCGACTTGTCTGGTCTACCTACAATGTATTTTCCCTATGTATAGCTTGCAAATGAAGGTACGGTATATAAAGTAGTGTACCTGTCGCATGGTACTTGGTATCTCTAGCCAGGTAGGGGTTTCTTTGATCCTGACTCTTCTTGAAGTACGGCAACACCTCATCATAGGACCATCCATAGTTGCCGAATGAGGCCCACCTGTCGTAGTCTCTTTTATTTCCCCTAATGTACAACATCGTGTTCAATACGCTTGAACCTCCCAAAACTTTTCCACGCGTCCAACTGCATCTGTTTTCTATCATAGCTTGACATGCGGTATCTTGAGGCTCGGTTCTAAAAAAAAAATTATCAGTTTTTATTCAGTATTATACCACGGTATACGCTAAAGAAGTATCGGGTTTTCGCAACGCGCGCGCCATCTGGTGGACTTCAAAAGCATTGCGTGAATTTAAGAATTGACAACAATACATTTCAAGCATACGAACTGTACATCATTTTTAAATAAATAGGTAGTTTTTTCACAAAAGAGAGTCTTACTCGACAAATTTTGTTCAATTGCACAGCTAAATCGCGCACGTTATTTGTGTTTTACGTTGCAAGGAAAAAAATAAAAAACTGGTTTAGTACTCGATTTCGATTGATTATTCTTTATATCATTGATTAAGAAACTCAACGCTTAAATGCTTATATAGTTACGTTAGTGTGTGTATTTTGTCTAAGGGATCATGGTGACTTATTGTGTTTTTAATTGTAAATATATTCAAGAACTAAATCCTTGCATTTTCATGTTTTGCCAAAGGATCCAATTCCAAGTACATTTGTTGGTGCAGAATTAACTAATGATAACTTTACCTAATATAATTTATATTTAAGTTTGGACATTTTTAATAAATTAGTAAAAAATAATTTTTGCACAAACATAACCTTAAAATCAACCATTTTTATGTTTGAGTTCTCTAAAAAACGCCCACAACTGCATTTTAAACAACAAAATATACCTACGAATTCATGGCAACATAATAATATATAATACATAATATAATGGTATTGTACCGTTGAGTGGAGACTTTCTTAATCAACGCTTTTAATAATGCTTAATGCTGTTTAAATTTAGACGACTTATTTGTTTGACGATTTTTACTGAATTGAAATGTTTACACTTTTCACGTTAATCACCACTAAAATGTGTATTTATTGCATCTAATAGATACAACGCTGTGGCTCCCGTCCCGAGGCGGGACTTAAGTTCAGTCCCGATTGACGTCATAATTTTAAGATTTGTTATGTTGTAATAAAATAATAATAATAATAAATTGTACCTGTATACATGTTAAGGGCACTTTAGTTACGTCATAAAACCAAACCAACCCAAACTCAACAACACAACCCAACCGACCCCGCCCCATTGGGCCCCCCCCCGCCCCATTGAGCAAAAAACCCAACTAAAATGGGCAAATTTATGTTACGATAAAAATAAAACACTTTTTAACAAAGAAACAACAAATTTATAAAATAAAAAAAATAAAAAAAGTTTGACAACTTCTAGTGGGATCGAACCCGGTACCTCTCGCATGCCAAGCGACCGCCCTACCATCTAAGCCATCGAGCTTGACAAAAATTATAAAATCTCGGGGAATAAAAACGGATTTACAGTGTGTGACGTCAATCGGGACTGAACTTAAGTCCCGCCTCGGGACGGGAGCCACATCGTAGATACAATTTATATTTACAGGACCGTATGACATTTATTTCTTCATTCGGATTAACACTGTTTATTGGAAAACCGATAAAAACTCAACCCAGGATTTTCTCTCGAAATACACCCAACACAAAAAATCGTGCCACGTTTTTTTTCGATATTTTTATACATTTTCCGGCTTTATTCTCAAAAACACTCGTTTGTAACTACTGTACTTTTGTTACGATGATAACAGCCGAGTGGTGGCGCTACTAGCGATACTTCTTTAGCGTATAGTATTTCTGTTGTTTAAACAATGGTATCATTGTTAAACGACGTTTTTGAAATTTCTTTTGTACTTTATTAAATAAATTAAATTAAATTATAAACCGAATAAGAAACTCTTTACTATTTTTTTGTTGTATTGTTTCAGGTAAGGTCATATCATTGAGATACTTTTTGTAATAACTATCCTGGAGCTAATGAACAATTTTGTAAGTATATTATACATTTAATGTCCGTGTATGTGTAGGTTTGTGTCTGTGAATTAAGCAATATTTCTGCATGACTTTTAATTAGGAGAAATTCTTTTAAATGTCGTTACATAAAGCAGATGGCCTAAAAACGTGGGATTTTAAATTGATTTTTTTTGTTTGCCAAACAAATAAGTTAAAACAATTTTATTGTTCCAAATATGTTTAAAAAAATATATATACATAAGTATCTCATTAAATTAAATCTGATTTTTTTAAGTACCCACGATTTTTTAACTAATATTTAAATTTCTTTTGGTTTATGTTTTATACATTATTTCATTCAACAGTCAAGCAGTTTACTAACAACGGGAGTGTTCAACCGAAAAAAATACAAGAAACGTGTTTTTTCAACGTTTTGTTTTAGCTCTAGTTAGTCCGTAAACGCACTCGAGTATACTGGGTTGCATAACTCTTAGGGGCAATTTAAATAAAATAATTCTTCCACTTGTTACTTGGCTGATGGTTTTTAACACGTCAAAATTTGAAAAAACAAAACTAACTTGTATCCCCAATCGACCTTGCTCTTGTGCAGGTACAAGCTCAAAATGGGGACATCAGTGATCTCGGTCTCGTGTCCCCCCGCCTCCAGCAGCAGAACCCTCCACCCCTCGACCTCGCTCAGTCTGTTGGCCATCACGGACCCTGCGGAACCTCCGCCGATGATGACGAAATCGTACTGCGCTTCCGGTTGCCTATCCAACGGCCTGTTCTCCGGATCGAACTGGTCGTAGTGGAAGTAGGCCAACGTCGCGATCAGAAACGGCAACACGGCGATTTTTCCCGCGCCTATCAGCGCCACGGCCGCCTTGATGGCCGTCGACACTGCTGCCGCTGTGAGCACCGCCATGTTGTCTTTTTTTTGTTGTTGAAGTTTTCGATTACTTTTGGTTGGTTGGTGTTTCCGTTAGTATCTCACAGCATGCTTCAGTTTGTCCTTTAGGTAATGGAGTAGGGATGAGTTGCGGATAGAGGTCGCTCTTTCCAGCAGGTTTTGCAGTGTTGTCATATTTCTGTTGGCACCATGGTTGTTTTTAAAGGAGCTGAAACAAAATTTAATAGTTAAATTGTGCAAACATATTTTGCGTCAGTTGTCATAGGTCAGGAATAATCAGTGGCGGCCTAAAATTTCCATTTTGAGATAATGGTAATTTACGTCCCGGGCCCCCGGTCCAGAAGGGCCCCCAAATCTTTCCGGAAAAATTGAGCCGCCGAAAAAAAAAATTGGGAAATATTTAGAAAAATTAAATTGCATTTTTCTCATTTTATTCAAAGAGTAATACGAAAAAATGCAAGTCAATTTTTCTAAAAATTTACAAATTTTTACAGATATGTAGGTACTATCCGTACACAAATTTTTACAGATATGTAGGTTCTATCCGTACACTGATATCGAGAAAAAAGTGAATTACCTACCCTGAATATAATCATAATAATATGATTATATTTGTGAAGCAATCAGCCAAAAGCAGTTTCGAGTTATCAGCGAAAAACAAATATTTTTCGTTCTGCAACATTTTCACAAAGAACAACCCATGAATTCTATAGAGTATAAGACCTTAAAATTCATTTTTTTATTTTTGTCCACCTGCATCATGTGTTATAGTAAAAAACCAAAATGGATTTATCTAGTGTTGCTTGAATTGACAGGATTTATCTCCATTTGCTTGAAATAGGAATAAAAAAACCGTTTTATCCATTGACCTATACAGGGTGGTCCAGGATTAATCTGAAAAATGTTAATGCCATTTAAGTTAATTTAAAATAACAATAATGTGATTTTTTTATTTTTAATGAAACAAGACTTTAAATTGTATTAATTTGGATTTATCTGCTTTTGCTTGATTTGCTAGGTTTCGAGACCGGTATTCTATATCAATTACTTGGTTTGGCTCAATTCTGAGTTCACCAATGGATTAACCTTACCTCATTTACTGTTAGTTCATACTTAACTCATTTTTTAACAAAACTGGATTTATCTGCTTTTGTCTGATTGCTCCACATTTATTCATTTTCTTAAATCGATTTAATTTAATTCAATGTTTAGTTGTTTTTAATTAAATGTTAAATGTTAAGTTGTTGATTACTACTTTTTTGAAATGTATATATTTTTCATAAAAAATTCCATTTTTCCCAAAAAATACATTTTTAAGGCCTATTTTTTTCCCCAATTTTTTCGTTTTTTTTTTAAGTATAAGTAAGAAGACACCTCAAAATTTAAACATTAATTTGCAAAAAACTATTTGATAGCTTTTGAAAGCCATGTATGACATGTCCAAGTATGGGATAATTCAACAAAACTATCACTGTCATTCTCCATATGATGGATGGACCATAGCAACCTTAGTTCTTCATACAGAAAAATATTGGAAATTGCAATGTTTTTTTTTTAAATCCATATTTTCCACAAAAATAAATATATCGAGGTGAACCAAAAACAAAACTGTTAAGAATAGATGATACTTGATAAATAAAACTTAATTTACAACAATATACGGTTTTGCCACTCTACAGAGTGTCTTAAACTTATGGTAAAAAACATCTTTTTGTTTAAACCTGTATATTACAAACTTACGTCTATTTTTTAGTAATTTTTTAATTTATCTACAATATTTTTTAATATTCGTTTAAATCCGACATCAAATAAAAAAGTTATTTGCGATTGAAATTCATCAAAAATTTGTGTGGATCGATTATTTTGCCTGTGAGTGTACTTACCAATTTAAAATAACAAAACATTAATATTTACAAAATCCATTTTATTTTACCGCCCCGGGCCCCCGCCGTGTTTAGTCCGCCACTGGCACTCAGTATGAAGAAATATGTAAGTGGTCACTACCTTTCTTAGTAAGAGCTATATTTCACTTCAATTGCAATGCTAATTTTAGGACTTGATAAAAAGTACAGCAAGGTTGTATTTATAAAAGTAAAAGGCACTGCACCGGATTGAAAGCATGCTCCTATTTATTTTTATAAATTATATAAATTTATTGTCTTTAACTTCGTTAAAAGTTCAAGCGGATTACCTGGTAAATCAATAAATTTCATCAATGGTCGCCACTTTCAAAACTTAATAAATTATAGGTGTATATTGTTATATCATAACAATATTATAAAATTTAATAAATTACATTAAAAATTAACTAAAAAAAAAACAAAACAGCCCAAGCTTCAATTCTCAAATAGACGCGAACTTACATATTACTGGCAAAAGAAAATAAAAAAAAACAATTAAACTGGGGAAACATTTATATATTCCAAATGTACTTTTAATGACTAAATGAGTCTTTACCGAAATATGTTATTATTGAAAATAATAATTGATATTACATTAATGAAATAATTTTGTAGTGAGTTTCTTTAGTTAATTTCATGTTATTAAATCTCTCCTATTGTTAAAATGCAATCTTGAAATTATACGTAATGTTAAACACTTTTTATTAAAATTATTATAAAATTGTAAAAAATTTGCTAAAAGGAAATTTTACGCTTTTATGTTTTTTAAAAATATTTACCTATTATTCATTAATATTATATAATAACCTCATCATGTTAATTTCTACACGTAATGTTGCCTAAACGTTGTAAATTTGGTAACTTTCACAAAAAAAACGAGAACCGTATCTTAATATAAAACTCATCGTTTTCTAAGGTGGTGATGAAAGCATGGCCTTCGCTGAAAAAGCAAGATCAATGTCTACGTACTGAATTAAATAAATCGGTAATTACAATATGTTGTTTGTAATTATAATTACAATTATGAAAGTGAAACTACACATTGTTAATTTGTGGTAATATTTTTATGGTTTTTAGTTAAGATTTAACAATACTTTTAATTGGTGTTACTCTAATAATCATTTAAAAAGTGCAAAAAATCTAAACATATTTTATTGGATTTTTGTTACAAATAAGACTTTTTAAAATTTTGTTATGCATTTAAGAAACACCCTGTATTAATTAAAGTCGTTGCGAAATTTTCGCGATTTCTTCATAAAAATATCATAGACGTCTAAATTTGCACGTAGACGTATACCTACTGGTATGGTAGTAGATATGTAAAAGTATGTCAGATTAGTGGTTATATAATGGGCCTACATTTGTCTTTCATGGGTGCATAAACTTTGTAATATTTTCGAACGGAGAGTAAAAACCATCAAAGAATTATTAACCAATACATGATACAAAGAGATATTGGTCAGTGAATATTTCGTAAATTTATTAGTATTGGTTAACAAACTTGTTAAGGTTTTAAGTTAATGTTAATGTTTTTGTTAATAAAAAACTATAATTTTTCTCCAGATTCCAACAAATTTTTTAAATTAAATTTTCAATAAAAATATCAAAATATTGATATTACAAAAAGAAAAACTATTGAATCAATATTTGTTATATAATGCGTCGATTTGCGTTATTTAGAAAGCCAAACGTGTCTAAATCTTTTTGAATTAGCATTGCCCAATAATTAGGCAGCCAGCATACGTGATGAATTCGAGGCATATTTACTTAAAGTTTTTATTTTTAAATGAATTAAAATGTATCTTTAAGGTAAAAACCCAATAAACCTTTTTGTTTTTATGGTGGTTTCCATAAATGTTTTATCATCCAAATTATAAAACCTAAATTTCTTAATTTGGTTACAAAAATATATATGTATATACGTATACGAGGTGTGTTCAGAAAATAACGGGAATTGTTAAATTTCGCGGGTTCGGAGGGTCCGGTTGTCATACAATTTTCTTTATTATGTTGGTATACATGCCCCCAAAGTATGATAACAACTTTAGCTGTTTTCATTGTTTACTTTGTCTGTGGCAGCCGCTAAGGTTAGACGTGTTTTATGAGCTCGGCGATTTTTCGTTCGTTAAAAGAAATGGATCAAAGAATTTGTATCCAATTTTGCTTAAAAAATGAAATAAATTCTGTGAAATGTTAACAAAGGCCTATATTGAGTCTGCTATAAGTAAAACAAGAGTTTACAAGTGGTATAAGAGTTTCCAAGATGGCCGTGAAGACGTTGAAGATGACGAACGCCCCGAACGCACAAGCACATTAACAACCGATAAAAACATGGAAAAAGTGGAAGAAATGTGTTTGCGCCACATTTTAAATTAAAATTACTTGCGCCATCTACCTCAAAGAAACTAAAACAGACAAGTGTGTGGGGAAGGGATGAGCGGGAGAAAAGGGGCGGCAATTGGTAAAAAAGCGCTTGAAATGTAAGCACGATGCTTTTGTCAATTAATCAGTTTGTAAAGACAATATTTTCAATATATAGTTTAAGTTAAAAAACTAATTATTTCAAAACCCAAAAGTACCGAACCAGTGATGCAGAGTTTGCAGTAACAAACAAAATGGTTATAAACCATAGGAGAAGTCGCTGATGATGTTGGTATATCGATTGGCTCATCCCATGAAATTTTTTCGAATGTTTTGGGTATGAAACGCGTGGCAGCAAAATTTGTTCTAAAATTATTAAATTTTAAACAAAATTTTTGGCCAAAAACAATACTGTAATGATGCCCAAGCCTCCATATTCGCCAGACATGCCTCTGTCTGACTTTTTCCTATTCCCAAAAATAAAGAGAACCTTAAAGGGCCGTCGTTTTGCAAGCATAGATGACATTAAAAGCGCATCGCTGAAAGAACTAAAGGCTATCCCAAAGATCGAGTTTTAGAAGTGTTTCGAGTATTGGAAGAAGAGCTGGCACATGTGCATAATATCCAATGGGGACTATTTTGAAGGCGACAACTTTAATGTAGACGAATAAATAAATATTTGTTTCAAAAAAATTCCCGATATTTTCTGAACACACCTCGTACATTAATATCTTCCCTTTGTTTACATTAAAG